AATTGATGCTTACAATTAGACAAATTCACTGCAATCAATTGATCAGATAAAATACAATGGCTTTGATGAGGAATCGTCTTTTTAATCCATGTTGATTGTAGTATATCCCTCTTTCCTCAAAATGATTTACGGTCAGTAACTAATAATCAGCTTCGCTCCCAAACTCAGTTCTTCTCCTTTTCTTGAGACCCATTGACCTTGTAAAGACATCTGACATTCAGCTCCACACAAACACATCTTTTAGTCGATTGTCTCTTCCTGTTCAATAGTTATCAGCATCCCCTCACCTTTATCAAGATTCCAGCAGTTTGTTTTAAACAACGACGACAACAAATTTCATTTGCGTCGCGCCTGTCACATCAGGAGGACGACCCAAGGCGCTGGTCTGAGAAAGTCCCAGAAAGACCGTTGCGTAGCCAACAATGTCTTACCAACGATGACGTTGAAACTTTGTCGTCTGTAAACAAATCGCAGTTGCAGTTTTTCAAATCAATGAGCTTCCGCGATTTTTCTTTGGTCAACTCTTTGGTCAATTCAAGCACTCCAGAATTCTGCGATTGCTTACAAAGCCCATTATTATTATTCCCTAAAATTCAAGTCAGTGCAGAATTGTTTTTAAATCCATTTGGAAGCCAGTTTTACGCAATTAACTCAAAAGAAACCGGCTTCCAAAGTCAGACTGATTTTAAGAACTTCCCAAAATTCTGGGCTCTCAGAAATTTGTGGGAGTTTCGCCCACAAAATATACAGTCAATCCACTTTACAATTTGCACACAGCAGTGTCCCACAAAGAGCTGTGGAGTGAGAATAAGCGACAGAATTTTTTAATTGGGATTAAAGCTTGATTTTCTGCTTTAAGCATTTTTATTTCCCTTTAAGTTTGGAGGTCTAATCACTGGATTACTAGTTGATTATTACAGTAGAGGAGAGAGCTCCAGTGGGGGAGCGAATACCAGCCCAAAGTCGCTCAAGTTGTGCCAAAAGATTTCCTGTGCTGTTAACTTTCAATGATTTCAGATCTCGGCAGAGTACCTAAACAGGGATTCTCTTTAACATAGTTGCAATGATGGATTTTACAGCACAGGCTCAGAGATTTATAGAGTGTGGGTGACCTCTGGAGTGGAGAGTGCACACCCACTGCGTTACAGTGCACATGTGATCGATAGCTTTATGCTGTGCGTAAATCAACAAGCGAAGGTGTCTTGAAAAATTTTGCTGCGAACATTGGTCTGACAGTAAATCTGAAAAACGACAACGAAACAGCAAAGAAAAATGATGTGTTAAAAGGTGGGGGGGGGGGTCCAATCTTCTGACTGCTTTTGGATGTTCCTATTTGAGAAAAGTCTGCAGGCCGCATAAGCAATATCTTTCTGATTCCCTTCCAGAAACATAACAACATTTGGGGATTATGGAGGGAGTGGGTGGGCCAGATGGAATGGAACGGCTGGGAGGGGCAGATGAAATCGAAGGAAACTTGCTAAGGTTTGGCCCCGCCCGGGAATCGAACCGGAGTCCTCTCGCTTGCGAGCCGAGCTCACTAACCACTGAGCTACAGGACTGCACAACATGGGTCAAAGGGCTTTTTTCATTCCAAAATGATCTTGTGACTTTTCCACACTGTGAAATGTGCGGACACAGCATGAGTGCAGATCTGCGTGGCTGTTGAGGGAAGGAATGGGTTGGGGATATGGGGAGAGGAAGGACCAGGGAGAAAAATCACATCACATTCCGCATTCTTCCATCCCATTCCGCTCTCCCTCCCTCCTTCCTTCCCTCCCTAATATTCCTCTGATCTCCATTTTTTTTACCCAGTCATGTGTCTGATACGTGCGGAAACACATCACCGTTGCTTAAGAGTCTCCAAACCAAGCTGAGAATTCCAGGCATCCCACCTACACATGGAAATCCCAGAGATGGATTGTTGGAATGGGATGTGCCTCGCTCTCTCTCTCTCTCTCTGGAGGGACGCACCCTGCTTACTTAATTCCGTAAAGTATTAGGCGCAGGTTGGCAAGAGCTAAGGCTTGGGGGGAGCCCAGAGTGTCCGTTGGGGATAACTGCTAACTGCATAGGAGCTAAACCACACAGCTTGTCATTGGCATCACTGTCTGGATAAGCTTACCTGATGCTTGTCCAGCTAGGACCACCCGACCCGTTAGGGCTTTGGCTTGCAGGATTAACAGGAGCTGAGGGGGAGGATTCCCTTCGCCCAGTGACTGATCTCCAGTTACCATTGGTGTAGTGTTCTCTAATGCATCTGCTCACAGCCAGTGCTGACTTTACTCAACCAGCCAGCTATACTCTGTCCTGAAGTGTAACCTATGCTTCACCTCTTATTGACATGAATAATTGAGTCAGGCAATTTGACCCCACAGGGACACTTGTGACCTGGCAAGTAAGAGGCAATTTAATGTTCCACAGAGCAAAGAAACAGGCCGTTCGGCCCAACGACTCACACCACCAGTGTTCATACTCCCCTCAAGCCCCCTCACACCCCTCCACCCTATCCTAATGCCCTCTCCTACACCCCTCTATTTCCCTTCTCCCTCAAGCAAAATGCATCATGCAAGAAAAAAATTTGGGTTGCTCAATCCACGACTGTTTGTGGGACGCTGCCGTGCGCAATTGGCTGCCGCGTTTCACCCACAAAATACGCAGTCAATTCACTTTACAATATGTATTCTGTGAAGCTCTTTGAGATGTTTCAACGACATGGTAAGGCACTATATTAAATGAAAAGATTATTATTATATTACTATTATTATTATTACAAGGCGTGCGTTCCACTCTAAGCACCCAACCAGCACACAATAAAATGCAGGAAGGAATTAAGGGCAGCAGGATGTCTCTCTCGTGGTCAGAGGAACAGCCTCACTGATTGTAAACACAAGGCAAGAATACCAAACGACAAGCGCCAATGAACTAAGAGGCTAAAAAAAAGACCTCAACCAATGAGCCTGATGTTCAGGTTTGTATCTGCTTCACCCCCTGTGCTGGGTTGACTCTTTGCTGCTGCTTATGATGATGCATTTGAATCCTCTGTTCAATTGTTTTTGGATCTATTGCATCTGCGTCCTGTCCGAGGTTCCAGCCACAGTTTAGGCTCTGGATCAGGCTTTAATAATAATAATAATAATAATCCCAGTTTACAATGCAATAAAATTATTAATAATGATATTAATATAATTCTTGCACCTCAACATGTCGTTGAGACGTCTCAAAGCGCTTCACAGGATATTACTGTAAAGTGAATTGACTGTATATTTTGTGGACGAAACACAGCAGCCAATTGCGCACAGCAGTGTCCCACAAACAGTCGTTATTATTATATTATTACAGTTTAATTCACTCTGTAGAGATAACTTCTTAATTGTTTTCAGTGCTGGTCAGCCAGACCAATAAAACTACCACTTTAGGAATGGATATTACTTTTCTTAATATGTTTGAGCTTTCTATCATAGCTACTTTTTGCAGAAGGTTAATATTCTGTTCATCGGGTATTTTGTCAAACCATTTTTGAATACTCTTAATAATAATAATAATAATCCTTCCGTCTTATCACATCATCAAGACGTTCCACTTCATGGGATATACTGTAAAGTATAGTGACTGTGCATTTTGTGGGCGAAAGGTGGCAGCCAGTTTGTGCACAGGAGTGTCCCACAAACAGCCATGGAGTGACTGACCAATTTTATTTGGAGGATTGTCGACCAGGACACTGGGAGAGAGAGAGAGAAACTCCCTCCTCTTTTGGAATAGCGCCACAGGATCTTTAACGTCCACCTGAACAGGTGGATGAAATTTTGGGTCACCATCTCATCCAAAGGACGGCACCTCCGATAATGCAACAACTCCCAGTGTTAGACTATATCCCAACATGAGGGCTTGAACCTACAACATTCTGACTCAGAGGCAAGAACTCTACCACTGCGCTAGGCTGACACACAGGCTTTACTACAACAACACGGTGGGGAAGATGGGTTTAACATTCCCCCCACACAAACCCTCCCCCACCAGCCCCGCGCCCCCAAAATCCAACCCAACCCAGACGCCAAATCTAATTGCAAAGCCCCAGTTGCTCTCTGGTTGGTAACATCAAACTCGAGACACGCCGGGATTCGAACTTACAACGATCCTATCTGGCACTAAGTCATGCCGTATCCTCCAGGAGGAGCTAAGCTTCTTAAGTGTCTTATACCGTAACACGAGTCTACAGAGGCAGGTGCTCTGATTACAGTCTGGAGATCTAGAGCTAGTTATTGGTCAAAGTTCATTTGATGATTAGCTAAGCTTTGCTCATGATAATTAGACCTATTAAAATAATTAATCAGGAGGCCGGCAGCTTTATTGACATGAATTGTGGAGATGGGGTACTTTATAAATTGTGGGGTTAACCAAATTTAAATACCTGCAGCGGATATCAGATTCATGATTTATTTATTGTTTTGTCTCTGATTCAGCGATGATTATATTATTCTCAGACTTGCAAAGGTCGAATGAAAAGGCTTTCTGACTTACTCGTGGAAAGCAGGAAGCGAGAGGACCCGGGTTCGATTCCCGGGCGGGGTGAAAGTTAAACAAGTTTCCTTACTCCACCACACGCCTCTGTTTACCTAGCAGTAAGTAGGAACCCGATTGTTTGTCAATTGGCGGATCGCTTTCTGGGGATGATAATCCCTCAAAAAAAATGGTCACTCAACCTATGACCGTTTGTGGGACACTGCTGTATTTCACCCCAAAATACACAATCACTACACTCTACAGTATATCCTGTGAAGCGCTTTGAGACGTCTCGAAGACGTGATAAGGCGCTGTATCAAATGCAAGGATTATTAATATTATTATTATGATTATCATGTATTATTGTTTGAATCTCCCGTGTACCTGTGTGATCAGACTCTCCTTCTTTGTTGCTTCTCTCAGGCTCTGTGCGGTGAGGAAGAGGTGAAGATGGGAGTGAGATCAGAAGCTGCAAAACACATTGTCGGGAGCCTTTCTGAGCAGCTGTAAGCGAGGACCTGAGATTCCAAGACGTAGGTGCCTTGGGGAGGTGGGGGTGGGGGGGGGTGCGCTAAGCAAATTGGTTACAGACCTACGTCTTGGAATCTCTTGTGTTAACAAAGTAAAACTCTGTTCCAACTTTGCTAGTCGGGAACCAGTTAAATCGAGCGATTAATTTAATTAATGAATAATAATAATAATAATCCTTGCATTTGTTACAGCACCTTATCGCGTCATTGAGGCGTCTCAAGGCACTTCACTGAATGTATTGTAAAGTGCAGTGACTGTGTGTTTTGTGGGCGAAACGCGGCAGCCAATGGCGCACAGCAGTCATCCCACAAACAGTCGTGGATTGAGTGATGGCATTTTTTGGGGGGAAGGAATTAATGACCCTCAGAAAGCCAATCGATGAACACCCGGGTTCCTACTTACTGGTGGGTTAAACCGAAGCTTGTGGAGTCGGGAAGCTTGCCGGAGGTTTCGCCCTCCCGGGGAATAGAACCCAGGCGTTCTATTCCACTAGGTTACAGGACTTCACAGTAAGCATAGAGATGCAGTAAGCTTATGGTGTAGTGGTGGTGTGTTGTATGAGCCTTGGAGAGAGACACTGTAAAGCTGACTGGCTCATACTATGATCCCTTTCTCAAGCTCCAGCCTCTCCTCCGGGATCAAGTCTACTATTCATGTGAAGGACGCTATATAGATGCGAGCTGGCCTTGACAATACCAATTCACCGCAGACCTCTTTATGCTACCTAGAACAGCAAAAGGGGACGTCGGAAAATCAATACGATTCAGAGAGATTTTCCGCGAAAAAATAAAGGGCATTTCATTTTATTCTCAGCGGATGGTTCCAGTTGAAACCAGAAACTGAGAAGTGTTTTCTCTTTGACATTAGATCACAGGCAATGTGTGTGATGAGGTCCATTGTGTTAATAAGAACAAGAATCTTTGCATTTGACATAGTGCCTTATCAAATCATTGAGGCATCTTAAAGCGCTTCACACAATGTACTGTAAAGTGTAGTGGCTGTGTATTTTGTGGGCGAAACGCGGCAGGCAATTGTGCGTCCCACAAATAATTTTTTTTGAGAGGGTTTATCACCCCTGGAAATCGATTCTCCAATCGACTAACAACCAGTTTCTACTTACTTTAGGTAAACAGAGGCGAGCAGAGTAAGGAAACTTGCATAAGGTTTTGCCCCACATGGGAATCGATGCCTTAGTGTTAGTGACTACGGAAGCACAGAATTACAACCCAATTTGGAGGCTGTTTGCTATGTTCTCCTCTCTAACCCTTTCCTGGTTGTCACAGTACAAACGTGAGACAGTTTCCATTCATTCTTGGACACCTTTGAACCTTTTTTCCTTTCTCTGGTAGAAGATATCAAGGCTTTGAGCTCACACAGTCCAGGCTGATATTCCAATGTGGTGCTTGCGGTTGGTGGGGAGACGGAGGGGGGAAGGCATGGCATTGTCGGAGGTGCAAGCCTTCCAGTGAGAAGTTAAACCAAGCGTCCATGTCTCCGACAGTTCACCAACCCTTCCCCCCAACAACACTGTGCTGGAACCCACCAAACGACATCAACAAGCTGAACCCCAATCCAATAAACCGCTGCCTCTGCTCGACTGGCTCTGGCCTCCTGCTTGTCTCTCGCACTCTCCGTTCCCACCATCGGCAGCCGCACTTTCAGCCACTGCGCCCCGAAATTCTGGAACATTTTCCCTTTATCCCTCTGCCTCGCCCCGGTCCAAACTTCCCCCAATCTCCCGGCTCGGTGTCGTGCTCCGCCACTATCATGCACTCTGGGACTCTACCGTGCGTAAGCGAGGGGGGATGAGAGTGGGGGCGGGTGGGGGGTGGTGCTGTGTAAATGCAAGTTGTTGTAGCTGTTGGGGAGTCGGCCTAGACCGTGCGTGTTCAAAGTCATGGGGGTAGAAAAGAAATAAAGAAACAGAGGGAATGAAATGTCCAGACACGGTTACCTTCATCTCTCGGTTGCATTTTTAAACCTTCCTGCGTATCAGAAAGATTTTTTTAAAAACACTGACTATAAAAGGCTATTTTCTGCTCTGAGCCATTACCCTCCCCCACCACCCGCACGTCTGATATATCCGGTTGGAAGCTCTCAGACGCATTGTTATTCTGCGATTTATTTTTCATATTAAAAGAGAGGGAGAGAGAGAGAGAGAAAAAATTGCCTCTTTTCATCTCTTATCTCTTTCCCCGGTCCCGTTAATAATAACGAGATGTTCGCTCAGCTGCGACGACTGCATTCACCACTGCAATGTGAGATCCAACACAATTCAGATTTGAAATGAAAATAAATAATAATACTAATGCGGTCACTCAATCCACGACTGTTTGCGGGACGCTGTTGAGGTGCCGCGTTTCACCCGCACAATGCACAGTATGTCGTGTGAAGCGCTTTGAGACGTCTCGATGATGTGATAAGGCGCTGTATCAAATGCAAGGATTATTCTTCTGATTGCCCAGCGCCTTGGGACGTCCTCCCAACACAAAAGGGGTAATATACAAATGTAATTTGTTGTTATTGCTAATAAGCTATTCAATAATAGTGAGACAACCTGGGTTTGATTCCAGGGTGGAGCGAAACCGCAGGCAATTTTCCTTAGTCCACACGCCTCTGTTTACCTAACAGTAAGTAGGAACCCGGTTGTAAGTGGATTTGAGGGTAATAATCCCTCAAAAAAAAGTCACGCAATCCACGGCTGTTTATGGGACATCACTGCTGCCCCGTTTCGCCCACAAAAAGCACAGCCACTCCACTTTATGGTGTATTCGGTGAAGAGTTTTGAGACGTATCAAATGCAGAGATTGTTATTATTATTGAATAGCGCTTTTCACGTTGGGAGGGAGCACCAAAGCCATGGAGATTTCCCACTGAAGGTTCTGGTGGAGATAAACATCGGGTCCAGCAGTGACAATCTTCCTGAAAGAAGCTATTTGCTGGGATGGAGGTCAGCCTCACCGCCTGTAGGGTTACACCGGCTCACTGGGCAGTGGGGACCTGGGCTGGCGAGATTCACACCACATTCAGTTAGACTTGACAATGTCTTTCAATCATCGTTCCATTGATCCGCTAATTGATTTTGCAAGGCAGGAGAACAAACGGGAAAATAATTGCAACAGAAAGCTTAATGACACTTATCTAATCTGCATCCTACACGCTCTCTCTCTCTCTCTCTCTCTCTCTCTCTCACTCATCTCTCTCCTCCCTCCCTCCCTCCCTCCCTCTCTCTCTCTCCCCCTCCCTTCCGCTCATAAGAACATAAGAATTAGGGTTAATGCATTGGATTGTACTAACTTATATTATATAGTCTTAAATAAGTCGGGCCTTCAGCCTCTCTGCCCCCGCCCTTTGGAACTCCATCCCACAGTTCTCTTGCCTCGCTTCCTCACTTGCCGCCTTCAAGGCGCGTCTCAAACCATTCCTCTTCAACCGCACTTTCGGCCACCCTCCTACTTGTTCTTAACAATGGTCATTGCATTTGATATAGCACCTTATCATGTCGTTGAGACAGCTTTGAGGACAGCTCTGGGGGAGACGAGCCCTTCAATTAAGAGGAGGCCGCCTGTGGCACACGTCTAAACCATCCTCGTCAAAATAAAGCAAAAATACTCGTCGGCAAGAGAAGTAGCCGTGCAATATGGCAGTGTTAGATGTTTGAACCCATCCCTCCCGGGTGTGAAGGCTGACCCACTCTAGCATGTCCCTATTGAGAGACGTCATCGCAGCGCCTTCTTGCCCGAGGTGCGTGGCTGTCTGTGTGCACGTGAACGTCTCTCTTCACACTTAGCAAATTAAAAGCATTTCCAACATCAGCCAAGCTTTTGTGGTTTCCTTTCTTTCTTTCTTTCTTTCTTTCCCTCCCTCCCTCCCTCCCTCCCTCCCTCCCTTTCCTAACCTCCTTTTCTCCCTCCTTCCTTCCCCCCACTCCCACCGAGAGGCTCCAGTTTCAGAAGGAACATCTGGAACGATTGCTGAACGAAGCCCGGAATCAAGCAAAGAACATTATATGTTGTGCGGCGATAGCACTGTGGGCAAATGTGCGTTGAACTTGTGTGTTGAACCTCTCTACACACAGCAAATACTGGTTCATTCGGGTCAGAAGTAAGATCACGGGAACAATAAATCAACGAGTAAATAGGAATTGCAGCCGACTATCTCTCTGCAACTGGCTTGTTAAGAATAATCAATAAGAATAATACTTAACATAACACTCTGATAATGATAGTGATCCTTGCATTTCATACAGCGCCTTATCACTTGGTTGAGACATCTCAAAGCGCTTCACAGACTGTAAAGTGAGTTGACTGTATATCTTGTGGGCGAAACGCGGGAGCCAATTGCGCACAGCAGCGTCCAAACAGTCATAGATTGAGGGACCACTTTTTTTTGGAGGGATCATTACCCCTGAAAAGCGATCGTCCAATCGACTAACAACTGGGTTCCTGCTTACTGTTGGGTAAAAAGAGGTGCGTGGAGTAAGGAAACCTGCTTAAGGTTTCACCCTGCCCGGGAATCAAACCCCTCTCGCATCTGGGAGGCAAGCGCTCTAACCAATACCCAATTTTCTTTTAGCCTTTTCAAGGAACACGGTCAAAGATTAATCCCTTGTACCTCCTAGATAAACAACTCGCTGTGTGAAAATCTTTCCACGCCTTCACCAAGCTCCCAAGGTACACAAAGCAAACATTTCGCAGCCGCTTCACAGCAGTTGGAAACATCAAAACAGCTGGATTTATTAGCCGGCCCTCAATTGTCTGATTTCAGATGTAGGACAAAAAAATCGGATCTCTCTCAGGAACGCTGCGCTGTTAGTCACTTGGCCTTTTTATAGCCAAGTTGCCACTTGATAAGTTTTCTGCAGCCAAGTGATGCTGTGATCCTGGTCAACTGATGGGCCTTTCATCTCCCAGCTGTAGCCTCGAGCTTCTCTCACTGTCATAACTGTTCATAGAACCTCCCTTCCATGGTCAATAAATCCACCGACCTTCTGTTTAGATGTACTCCGCCAAAGGTCAGTCAATTTATCAAGTAATCCTCCCCTCTCTCATGTTCTTCCACTATGTTATTATTATTATTATTATGTTATTAATACTCTTATTGTCATTTTGTTCCAAACTTCCCTCCCTTGTTGCATTCAAGCTCAATGTACTCTGGCCTTTTTCCTATCTGGATCGTTGTCAGTCCACTGTCTTGGACTGACTATGTAGAATTACACAGACCATACTGTGTAGACAACCAAACATGCCAATCAGCCCACCCAGTCTATACTGACGTTTATCCCTCCTAATTCTCTCTTCCTGTTACATGGAGTCCCATAAGGCAGTGGTTAGAGTGCTCACCTCACAAGAGAGAGGACCTGGGTTCAGGTCCCGGATGGGGCAAAACCCTAGGCAAGTTTCCTTACTCCACACGCATGTTTACCTAGCAGATAGGAACCTGGTTGTTTGTCGATTGGCTGATCGATTTTCCAGGAGTAAAAATGCCTCCAAAAAAACAATTTGGTCACTCAATCCACGACTGTTTGTGGGACGCTGCTGTGCACCATTGGCTGCCATGCTTTGCCCACAAAATACACAGTCACTCCACTTTACAGTATATTCTAAAGCGCTTTGAGGCATCTCGCCAATGTGATAAGGCGCTATATCAAATGCATGGATTATTATTATTATTATTATATATTATATATGACTCCTGTCACTGCACTATTAGAGCCTGGAGTTTACCCTCTTCCTTTGGTTGCAGGGCAGACTGTGTGGATGTGACAATTGGCCCTCATGGATTCTTTCAGCACCATTGCCTTCAACGAGACCTACGATGGAAATTGGACGGAGCCTGTTAACGGCACGGAGGGGGGAGAGAAGTACCACTATAATTACTACGCCATGCTGTTCACGCTCCTGATCTTTGTCATCATTTTCGGCAACGTGCTGGTGTGTATGGCCGTATCCCGAGAGAAAGCCCTGCAGACCACCACCAACTATCTCATCGTCAGCCTGGCAGTGGCTGACCTTCTCGTAGCCACCTTGGTGATGCCCTGGGTGGTGTACATGGAGGTGAGTCTTCAACTCCCAGCTCGGGTCCAAAACCCCCTCCACCGTGAATGTCCGGAGCCTTGGGAAGTCTTTCGGATGTCTTTCCGGTGCTATACAAGTTTAATTTGTGGTTGTTCTTGTTGTTGCTGAGTCTGCATGCTCTTCTTTTTTTGGAGGTCGTTGAATCATACACAAGGGAATAGAGGGGAATAAGAGAGGAGATTAGTAAGGGTGGGGGAGTTGTTTAGTGCAGTGTTTAGTGAGCTCGCAAATTTCCTCACTCCACACGCCTCTGTTTACCTCGCAGTGAGTAGGAACCCAGTTATTAGTCGATTGACGGATCGCTTTCCAGGGATAAGAATCCCGCGAAAAAAAAAATAAAAAAAAAATTGCTCTCTCAATCCACGACTGTTTGTGGGGACGCTGCTGTGCGTAATTGGCTGCCGCGTTTCGCCCACAAAATACACAGTCACTCCACGTTACATTATATTCTGTGAAGCGCTTTGAGACGTCTCAACGACTTGATAAGGCGCTGTATCAAACACAAGGATTATTCTTATTAGTACAGCAACAACAACAACAAAATTACACTTGTAAAGCGCTTTTCACGTCGGGAGGACGTCTCAAAGTGCTGGACAGTGTTCAGTGTTTCAGACCCTGACCATAGTAGTCGTATGGAGATAGCCACTGGCAGCGTCTAGTTGGGCCGAATAGCCTGTTCCCGTGCTCTATCACTCCATATAATAATAATAATCCTTGCATTTGATATAGCGCTTTTCACGTCGGGAGGACGTCCCAAAGCGCTTCACAGAACACACTGTAAAGTGAATTGACTGTATATTTGTGGACTGTATATTTGTTGGCATATAACTCGATGTGGAAATGCTTTGGAAATGCTCAAATCTGAGAGAACTCATTTAGCCTCTGAGCTTTCCTCTACGTGTGAGCGAAGGGAGAGACTTACCTACCAGAGAGAGAGAGAGAGAGAGAGAGAAAGCTTTTGATTTCAGCTGAGCTCGTTCGCTGACACAGGATCCAGAGCTTATTAACAGAAAAGGCACAATGGCCTTTCACGCTGAATTCTCCAATTCTTCATCCTAATCATTTCTGTAACCTCATTGTTTTAGCAGAAACCCTATCCTTGAGAGCGAGCGCGGGTCAAAAGCTTGTGATCTCCAATAAATTGAAATGTATTGCCCACTTGTCTTGTGCTCACACTGACGGGAGTAGGGAGAATTTTGCTTTCCGCAGTAGAAAGCCACAGAGTGCCGTAGAGTTGAGGGATTTTCCTCATCATAAATCGCTTGCGATCGAACATGGTAGATGGGTCAGCAATAATAAATAATAATAATCCTTGCATTTGATGTAGCGCCTTATCACGTCGTTGAGACGTCTCAAGGTGCTTCACAGGATATACTGTAAAGTGGATTGACGGCGTATTTTCTGGGCGAAACGTGGCAGCGAATTGCGCACAGCAGCGTCCCACAAACAGTCCCACTAGTGACTGTGTTCCTACTTATTGCTAGGTACACAGAGGTGCATGGAGAAACTTGCCTAAGTTCTAGCTGGAAAAACTCTCCCCTCCGAAAACAGGAGGTTGTGGGTTCAAGGTGGGGCTTTGAGCTGAATTTCAGGACGTCCACAAAGTCCTGTTCCCCCCACCCCCCCACGCACCCTACCCACCCACCCCCCACCACCATCACCACCAACAACCCCATTACAAAACAGGGATATGAGGCAACGGGGAAGCTGACACAAGTTGTCAGAGATGCATTTAGCCTCCTCACTCCATCCATCCATCCATCCATGTTACAGAAGATGTAGCACCAAACATGGCAACGGATCATTATCTGATGTGAAAATTATGGTGCTCGCTCACTCACACACCCACACACACACTCACACACACTCACACACCCACACACTCACACACACCCACACACTCCCACACACTCACACACACTCACACACGCCCACACACTCACACACACCCACACACTCCCACACACTCACACACACTCACACACGCCCACACACTCACACACACCCACAGATCCACTGACGTCTAACTAGTTACACCGTTTGTACTAAATGCAATGAAGTAACTTCTAAATACAACGATCATCATTGTTCCACGTTTCACTTGTTGGTCGGTTGCGCAGAGAGAGAGAATCCGACATTCCTGATGCAGTTGACCGTATGCACTTGTCCAGTTGACGTGTCGTTGCCCCCTGTGTCGTGTAGGTGGTGGGAGAGTGGAGATTTAGCCGAATCCACTGTGATATCTTTGTGACTCTGGATGTCATGATGTGCACAGCCAGCATCCTAAACCTTTGCGCCATTAGCATCGACAGGTAAGGTGTGTGTTGGAATTTACCTAAGCCTCACGTTTGACGCAGTGCCCTTTCACGCCAGGAGGACGTCTCGAACTGCGCTACAGGGTTGGGCCGTAACCTGTTGGCTTTAAACTTGCAGCCTATCTTTGGGTGTCAGCCAGGCTCAGTTGGTAGCACTCTTGCCTCGGAGTAAAATGGGTTGTGGGTTCCAACCCCCACGGTTAGGGGGAATTTGAACTCACATAATCTAAGCTGATGCACCAGAGCAGCAGAGACAGTTTCGTTGTCAGAGGTGCCGTCCTTCGGTTGAGATGTTAAACCGATGTCTTGTCTGCCTGTTCAGGTGGACGTTAAAGATCCCTTAGCGCTATTCGTAAAGGGAAGGTAGCGTTTCTCTCCCGTTGTCCTGGCCATTTGATCATTTACTTCATGGCTACTTCTAGGACGTTGCTGTGTGCAAATTGGCTGCTGTGTCCACCTGCAAAATACAGTAACTACACTTTGTGGAAAATCCCGTAAAGCGCTTTGAGACATCCTCCGAACATGAAAGGCGCTGTTTCAAACGTAAAGATTATTATTATTTTATTATCCAACTGATTTGATGTGTGACATCTTCACAGTTTCCCGGAATCCCATTTCTGCGATACTTGGAATTGGATTTTCTTGTTACGATTGATTGGGTTTGAGTAGGATAGATTGTCCAGAAAGCGGAAAGGTTTTAATGGGATCTCGGCAAGAAGGGCGAGTGCACAACTTTGCTGACCTAATTCCTGAAAATATTTGGTGCAGGTTGGTAAGAGCCAAGCCCTTGGGGGAGCCCAGAGTGTGCGTTGGGGTAACTGCTGGACAGTTAATAGCTAAAACCCCATAGCTTGCCATTGATAGCACTGTTTGGCAAGCTTGTCCAGCTAGGACTACCCTACCCGTTAGGGCTTGGGCTTCCAGGATTAACAGGAGCTGAGTGGCAGGATTCCCTGTCCGCCGTGACTAGTCTGCCCTTCCAGGTCCTGCTGATGAGCCGGGCTGTTTACACTGTGCAAGAGCCAAGGCTTGGGGAGCCTAGAGTGTGCGTTGGACTAACTGTTGGAGTCTAACCAGCTGAAGCCACATAGCTTGCCCTTGATATCGCTGTCTAGTGCACAAGCCTAACGGAGTAGCCAGTGATAAGTTCCCTAATGTATCCCTGATGTTACAGGTACACGGCGGTTGCGCTGCCGATGCTCTACAACACACGCTACAGCTCAAGACGAAGAGTTACTGTCATGATCTCGGTGGTCTGGACCCTGTCTTTTGTCATTTCCTGCCCATTGCTGTTCGGATTCAATAACACAGGTAACCCCAAAACAAGTTGCCATCTTATCTAATCATTATCTACAGGCCAACGCCCTCCCCCCACCCCACCCCTCCATTACAACAAACTTTGGTGTAGTCCAGATCTGCTTATAGAACGGTACGTGCTGACGGGCCCGGTTTCCTGCCCCGCACAGGAAGTGACGTCAGCGACTCTTCCTGAACGCGCAGGAAATTAGATCAAGTAACTCTTCCTCGATGCGCAGGAAGTGATGTCGGCAACTCTTCCTTACTGAACGCGTGGCAAGTGACATCAGCAGCCCGCGCGAAGCTCAACGCGAAGGAAGTGACATCAACAACTCTTCCTCAAAGGCACAGGAAGTGATGACAGTGGCGATCTGACGAGCCGGGAATGCTGACCGGCGGCCATTTTATTTTTTCGGCACTGCCTCACTCGTTACGATGCAGGGTTTGAGTTGAGCTTATGGACCCCCCAAACCACTCCCCGCGTTATAACTGGGGGATATGCCTCTAAAATGTTCCTCACTAAGTCGGGTTTCCTTTCTGTACGGCAGAGACTCGGGTCGATACCATCTGTACCATAGTGAACCCCGATTTTGTGGTTTACTCGTCGATATTCTCCTTCTATATGCCTTTCATCGTGACCCTGCTGGTGTACGTGCAGATCTATGTGGTGCTGAGGAAACGACGAAAGCGGGTGAACACAAAGCGCAACAGTGGGATGGAAACTGACATGCAGGCACCGTTAAAGGTAACAACAGCAACAACAACGACGACAACATTTGTACAGCATCGTAAGGAGGCATGCTAAAAAAAAAAAAAAAAAATGGCCACCAGTGGTGGAGGGCAGTAAGGGCGAGGGTAGGAGGGTGACCAAAGGCGTGGTCGAAGAGGAGGTCTTGAATCGGGCGTAACTGTTTGTACACTGGTGCACTTTATGTCATGATAAAAACATTCAGTATTCTATTCAAAAGGCTGAGGATGATGGCCGGATCCATTCAAACGCTCAAGACTGAGGTGGATAGATATTTGTGAGCTTAGGGTATCAAGGGATATGGGGCAAAGGTGGGTCATTGAAGCATGATCTAATAGGATGGCTGAACGGGCTCAAGGGGCTGAATGGCCTCCTCTTGTTCCTAAGTTCCTATGTTCCATGTGTATTGGAGCATGATGTGTTACACCATGAGCAGCTGCGAAGACAGAAGGCCAAAGTAACCTACCGAGGAGATGAATTGAGATGAGAGGGGAACGGGGCAACAGAGACAGCACTGCTGCTCATTCTCCGCAATGATTGTTTCATTTGTTCTTGCGCTCAGGACAAATGCACCCACCCAGAGGACGTGAAGCTGTGCACGATGATTGTGAAGTCAAACGGGAGCTTCCCCGTCAATAAAAAGAAAGTGGTAAGCGCTGACACTTTAGTCCTGAAGCTCAGTGGTTAGAGCACTTGCCTCGAAACCGAAAGGACCCGGGTTCAATTCTCGGTTGGGGCAAAACCTTAGGCAAGTTTCCTTACTCCACACACCTCTGTTTACGTAGCAGTAAGTAGGAAACTTGCCTAAGTAGGTTAGCAGCGCCCGCGGTTTGAGACGTCTCGAAGACGTGACAAGGCGTTATATCAAATGCAAGGGTTATGATTTTTATTATTGTATTATCATATTAGATCCTGGTCCAGGAAGCTGTCAACCATCCAGACGAGATGGAGATGGAGATGATGTCGTCCGCTAGCCCCCCCTCAGAGCACACCAAGCTGAAACTGACCGGGGTCCACCGTCAACTGGGGGTGCCCTTGCCCTCCAACCAGGGAGCCAGCTCCAATCTGCCCACTCCCTCGGGGAGCCCGGTGAAAGGCGAGAAAAATGGGCACGCCAAAGACAGCTCCAAGGCAGCCAAAGCGTTCGAGATCCAGTCCATGCCCAATGGCAAAACGAGGACCTCGCTCAAGACGCTGAGCAGGAGGAAGCTGTCTCAGCAAAAGGAGAAGAAAGCAACTCAGATGTTGGCCATTGTCCTCGGTTTGTTGGCTCCTCGCTCTTCCTTCCTTGCTTGTTTCGTTCGAAAGAAGATGTGGTCCCTCAATCCACCACCGTTTGTGGGACACTGCTGTGCGCAATTGGTTGCCGCGTATACACAGTCAATCCCCTTCACAATATATTCTGTGAAGTGCTTTGAGACATCTCAATGTTGTGATGTGCTATATGTGGAGTCCTGTAGCTTATTGGTTGGAGCGCTCGCCTCGCAAGCGAGAGGACCCAGATTCGATTCCCGGGCGGGGTGAAAGTTTCCTTACTCCATACACATTCCTCCGTTTACCTAGCAGTAAGTGGGTACACGGTTGTTAGTCCATTGGCGGATCACATTCCGGTGATAATAATTCCTTCAAATAAATAAAACAATAATAATAATTTGTTCACTCAATCCACCACTTTTCTTGGGACACTGCTGTGCGCAATTGGCTATTGCGTTTCGCCCACAAAATATATGGTTTGCACTTTACATTATATTGTGTAAAAAGCTTTGAGACGTCTCGAAGACATGATAAGGCGCTATATCCAAAGCAAGGATGATTATCGTTCGCTAACGGTCTCAATGGTAACGTACCTTTGAAGCAAACAACTAAACTCGGTTTCTCTTTCCTTCCTGTTCCAGGCGTTTTCATCATATGTTGGCTGCCCTTTTTCATCACTCACATCCTGAACATGCACTGCACCAAATGCTCCATCACTCCAGCACTGTACAGTGCCTTCACCTGGCTGGGATACGTCAACAGCGCAGTGAATCCCATCATTTACACCACCTTCAACGTGGAGTTCAGAAAAGCCTTCATCAAAATCCTTCACTGCTAAACTCGTTCACCCTTCCCTTGAACTGTCAGCCGGGCTCCCGAATTGTACAGAGATAGATTCACCCGTTAAAGGACACTCCATGCTTGTAATTACTTTATTTTTTAAACAGGAGAACACAGATAGCATCTATCGGGCACATTTATGTGCATTTGTGTGTGTAATGTGTGTGTATGTGTGTGTGCGCATCAGTGTGAGATGGTGTATGTGTGTGCGGGTTTGTGTGTGTGTGTATGTGTGAGATTGTGAGTGTGCGCGACACTCTGGGTATATAACAGAGCAGAGAACACAAGAACCTAGCAGTTTGTAGGGAATTTTCTTTGAAAATAACGAAAAAAAAGGACCTCTTTATGTCTTTGACCAAAGACAAAGCTCTGATGTAAAATAAGTTCCATTTGCATGGCTAGCAATTTATAACTCATTACTATTCAAGGAGCGCCAAACATTGGTCTTGGGCCAGTGAGCATTGCAACCTTCTGGCCCCAATGGACGAGTGAGTTTGGGTCCTGGAGGCACTTTGCTGGTAATAAGCCAAATTTGACTTATTTTTGGTGAGTAGACGCCAAGATATTAAAGGACATTTTCTTGGCCGGCTCAGAAGCCGCCGAGAACGAACTGGCAATCCCTCATGTTGCGATGAGCGGGTAGGACGGAAATCAGCGCACGGCAAGTTGCAGTGAGGTTATGATGGAGTCTCAGGAGAGCAATCGACATGAGATCGCAGGGTTTCGTTTCTTCGGGTTTGTTCAATTATTATTGACCGAGTATTAGCTGTGGGTCAGTATTCTCTCACGCCAGTTGTTCCCAGATCAATCAGTATTCGATGGCATAGCTCAGGCTAGAAACTGCATGTTGTTTCGCCAGAGAGAGCAACCAAGTTTTGTCACTCAAGCCAAGTCCTGACTTGAAGTTGAATAGAATTCACTGCAGCTTCACTTTACACACAGATAGACAACCTAACTTAGTAGAGTGATATTTAAGCAATATGTACCAACGTCCAAACCGCAATTCACTGGCCAATATATACTGTTTTATTGGGTTCTGGCCTGTCGTATTCTCTTACAGGTTGTTAAAGCTTAAGGGGAAAGGTTATTAATGTCTTGTATTATCAACAGAGATGGGTCAAGGGCTTGTTAGACAAGACTCTCCCACCAGACCCACAACTCTCAACATGCCAAGAATTTTTTTTATAAAAAATGACTTATGTTGAATTGCTGTCAAAGTAACTGCGATGAAGTGAAGTAACTGAATTTGTAGGCACAGACAGCCTACAAATTTTGCTCATGGCAAGGAACCCCTCCCCCACTCCTCCCCCCACCCACCAACATGCACGCACATAGCTCGGAAGCGCTTGATTGACTTTACCCGGAGGGATTGTCGGCCAGGAAGCTGAGAAAAACTCCCTTCTCTCTTTTCCAACAATGTCACGCGATCTTTAATGTCCGGGTGAAGAATAATAATAAAAATAATAATAATCCTTGCATTTGATAGAGCGCCTTATCCCAACTCGTTCAGGACTGGGAAAGAATATTTTACATTCTCGATCCGCAGTTTTAAAGAGGGCCGGTTTCAGGATATCAGGCACTGAACACAAAACATCTCCACCCACCTCCAGGAGCAATAATTTGATACTTTACCACCCACCACCCGGCGAAAAAAAAGGGGGAGGAACAAAGTCCTGGACTTGCTTTGCTGAATGTACCCCGTGTTTGCTGGGGGTGATAACCTGGTTCCAGCTCAGAGTTCAAAAGGCAGACATTTTTGTTTCTGGAGCTCAATTTTTTTAAACTTAGACTACAAAGATCCCTCGAACGCAAAGATATCATTTTGCAGGTTGTGGGGGGTGGGGGGTGGGTGGGGAGGGTTGTTGTGGGGAAGAGAGAGAGAGGTGGGGGGTTATAATGATGCGCGAAGCACAGAGTATTCCAATGAATTATGGTTCGCGATAGTCAGTGAGGTCAATATGGCTCTTCCTTGAAAGGCAAAAAATTGGTGAAAGGATCTAATTTCCATAACATGTCTCTTAGTATGTCATGATATGTTTAGTTGCCAAATTTGTAAATCAGCAAACATTTTAACCCCTCCCCCACCACCAACCAAGTGTCAGCTGGATATCTGACACGTGTGGAAACCCATCACCGTTGCTTAAGAGTCTCCAAAAGCTGAGAATTCCACCAACACATGGAAATCCTAGAGACAGATTGTTGGAATAGAATTCTCTCTCTCTCTCTCTCTCTCCCTGGAGGGACAAATCCTGCTCACCTAATTCCGGAGAGTATTAGGCGCAGGTTGACATAGACGTTCTTCAGCCCAAGAAGGCAAACACATCCCAAATGTTTTACAAATCTGGGAAATATATATTCCCTGCCGCCTTGCACGTTTTTCCACAGAGCTTAAAAACGACTGAATTTAGGGCGATTTCACAATTCTCCGTCGACTGTAAAATGCAGGGTTCTTAAAAAATAAAAAAGCTTCTAAAGCTTCGGGGCAGAGGCAATTTGGGGGCGCAGGAGAAGGCATTTGCAAATATAATAGCAAAATAGCCTAATAATAATCCCTCCAAATCCAAAAACAATAATAAATTGGTCATTTTCAATCTACGACTGTTTGTGGGACATTGCTGTGCGCAATTGGCTGCCGCGTTCGCCCACAAATATACAGTCAATTCACTTTACAGTGTGTTCTGTGAAGCGCTTTGGGACGTCCTCCTGACGTGAAAAGCGATATATCAAATGCAAGGATTATTATTATTATTATTATTATTAGAAATGTGCTGTCTGTGTTATTCCATGGAAGAGAGAACCCAAAGCTCTCCAGAGTCTCTTTGGAGCTGAACTGACTCTAAGGTGACATACTTGATAATGGAATGTCAGAATCCGGCCAGCCCTCCATGGCGCGCTCGGTGGTCTGGTTCCTGAGCCAGGTGGGTTCGCAGTATTCGACGGCACTGTCCAGCCAGCCCAGCCCAGCCCAGCCTGGCTCATCAGCAAGATTTGGAAGGGCAAACCAGTCACTGGGGGCAGGGAAATCTCCCGCTCAGCTCCTGTTAACCTCGCAAGCCAAAGCCCTAACGGGGAGGTCCTACCTAGACAAGCAGCGGGAAAGCTGGAAATTGCGTGCAATGTCCCACCTGCATTCAAATGGACACATGGCTTACACGAACGAGATAAAGACAGACAAGCTCAGAAATGGCCACTGTTAGGCTGTGATGAATTCAAAACCGGAACAAATCCATTGTATAGAGGTGTTGATTTTCAGAGCGCTGGTGTTCAACATTGCAAAAATAAAGACACCCCGTTTTTTGTTATACAATATTGGACTTTTTCTTTACCCGCCCCGTCTTTGTGATCCGTCGAGTCGGTGTACGTAACAATAATAATTATAATAATCCTTGCATTTGATACAGAGCCTTATCGTGTTATTGAGACGTCTCAAAGCGCTTCACAAAATATATCGTAATGTGGATCGATTTTTTTTGTGGATGAAACGCAACAGCCAATTACACACAGCAATGTCCCACAAACAGTTGTGGATTGAGTGACCACTTTATTTTTTTTGGAGGATTTTTTTGGGGAGAAAGCAATCTATCTGCCAAAACAACCGGGTTCCTACTTTCTGCTGGATAAACAGGAGTGTGGAAGAATGAAACTTGCCTAATATTTTGCTCTGCCTGGGAATCAAACCAGGTCCTGTCGTTTGCGAGGTGAGCGCTCTAACCACAACACTGCGGGACTCTACAAAATTGCTTGCAACGAGTTTCCTCTAAAGGTTTTTTGCTTCAACCACGATTCAGTTCGACATTTGCACCACCCTCTGCGTGAAGAACTTCCTCCTATACTCCCTATTAGACTGTACAGTGTTTCACCCACCAAAATATACAGTCAATACACTTTACAGTATATTCTGAGAAGCGCTTTAAGACATATCAATGACGTGATAAGGTGCTGTATCAAATGTAAGGATTATTGTAGGTGGATAGAGCCTATTAAAGTCCACCTTATCAAATCCTTTCAGAATTACAAACACCTCCACATTACATCCAAGCTAAAGCTAATTAAATGTCAAGGTTCTTGGTATTGTTATCATTCCGTAGGCTCTTAACCTTTGGGTTTTAAGGATAAATGTCAATTAAAGCACTAATAACTGACTCACCTTTAGATTAGAGGAACGAAAAGGAAAGCAGGAGATGGTGCACTGCTGTTGATTAAATTTATGGCTCGAGAAACAATAAAGTCTGACTCTACCTGAATTAGGAAAATGGAAGAGTAGTCTAGCCAACAGAGAGATTGCTTGAGTTTGTCCCTTGTCATAGAAAGCACCAAGGTCAGAGGGAAACCATAGAACATTATAGTATTCTTCTAGGCCCTCCCCAGCTCCATTTTCCACAAAATCCAATAAATCCAGAACTCCGCCGCCTGCATACTGACCCACACTAAACTCCTTACCCCCATTACACCAGATCTCCAAACGCTCCGCTGGCTCCCTTTCACCGAACGGATCGGTTTCAAGATACTCTCACTCGTCTTCCAATCCTTTCATGTCCTGCCACCTCCCCACCTCTCCGACCTGCTTACTCCCCAACCCACTACCTGTTACCTCCGCTCGACTGGGGTGCCAGTTGTTGTTGTACAGAAGAAGGCTATTCGGCCCACCATGTCTGTACTGACTATTTTAAAGAGCGATCCTTTCAAATCCCATTTACCTGATATTTATTCCTGACTCCTGTAGTTTAAGACAGTAAGATAGCCCTTGCATTTGATACAGCGTCTTATCACGACATCGAGATGATTTGAAACGCTTCACAGGATACACTGTAAAGTGGAATGACTGTGTACAATCAGCTGCCCAGGGAGGGAATGAGTGGAGGAGTGAGGAAGGGAGGAAGGGAGGGAGGGAGAAGACATCACTGGAGAGCTTAAAAGTTTCTGTGATAAAAAAAGGGCAAATGGAAGGAAGGCAAGGCAAGAGTACTGTTATTTATACTTCAACCTGCAATTACTAAC